GAGAGGAGAGGAGAGAATATGAAAATGAGTTAGTCTTCTCCAGGGATGAGTCCCCTGTAAGATTATTCAATACCAAGTGATCAGTTCTAAACACACATACAGATAAACACTACTAAATGAACTTATCAAGTAGTATAAATAATTATAATATATGGTATATAATAATTAAAAATAAGGACCATAAATTTGAGGAGTTGTGGGACACATGGGAGGATTTGGAAGGAGGAGAGAGAGAGGGCAAAGGATATAAACACATGCAGGCATCAACTCATTTCATGAAGTCCAAAATGATGTTTTATTCCCAAAATACACAATTTAGCAACTAACTGAGAATAAGATACAGGGATCAGAAAATTCTGACAATTATAAGATCTGTAAAGGTCAATTAAAACATAACACTTAGTGCCCTGAGCAAGTGTTAGTTCTGCCTCTGTGTGGTCCCTCATTTGGGGCTCGTTGGTGATGAGGCCATCTCTGTGTGGTCAGCTCTATGCTATGGGTCAAGTCAGATTTCACCTCCCAGAACACTGCATGGTCATATTTACTTTTTCCACTCTTTCTATAGGCATTCTGCCTGGCAGCTGTCAGAGTAGAGTTCTCAGAGTAAGCTGTGTAGGGAACGATGTTTGCCTCTAAAATATCCTAGTCCAAGCCAACAAATCAGTAGGGGTCTCTTTATAATGACTTCTTGCTATTGCTTGTGAGTCATTAGTATTATATTTCATTTCCAGGTCTCCTAACAATTTTAGTTCATATTGCCCTGGTACAAATTCCTCTGATATCTCCTTAAAATCATGGTGTTTAAAGTTATATTAGATTGTTATTATAATATTCACAGGAGTTTGATGCTAATACTATATTTATACACATATATATATAGTATGCAATTCCTTTTATTAAATATGCAGTACTATATATGTATAAGAAATAGTACCTAAAGCAGTGGTTCTCAATATTCTCAATGCTACGACCCTTTAATAAAGTTCCTCATGTTGTGGTGACCCCCATCCACAAAATTATTGTTGTTGCTACTTCAGAACTGTTATTTTTATACTATTATGAATCGTAATGTAAATATTTTTGGAGCTGGAGGTTTGCCAAAGTCATCACGACCCACAGCTTGAGAACCACTGACCTAAAGCCTTTGTGAAATGTTTATTTATGACTTTTTTCTTTGTGTATATGGAATTATAAATCCCTGGAATCTAAAATAGCTTTATAAATTGTGTATTTCAAAGGATTATTAATAGATTTTGACATTACAATTAGACATATGCATGATTTAATTATTTTAATTATGTATGTGCATGTGTCTGTGATGGGGTATGCAAATTTTTCATAATCTCATAAATTCCCAGCATAGGACTTGGGAAGTATTGATTTTGATCCATTTTTATTTTTCAATTCCATTAGTAAATCTTCTTATAAACTCTCTTTCTTTGACCTTTAAACACAAACTGTACATTTAACTTACAGATAATTGTTAATTAAGGGAAATACATCCTTAGCTTACTGTAGAATGATTCTGATACAGCATGAATATTTAATTACAAGTATGTATACAATCTACTAAAATAAATAAAGGAGTTGAACTGAACCAAGTGAGGAAAACTTCATACCAGCAGGTTACTTGAGAAAATACAGGTGCAAAGCTTCAGGGAGAGGAATTGATCCAACTATAAGCACGCATTGAAGGTTTACTTCTTTTGGAAAGATAACATTTTTGCATGTCTTCTCTGAGCTGACTGTATTCCTTTCTTCCTCTGCATAACACTTTCAAACTGAGATGGTAGCTCACTCATTTTGGCACCTAAATGAATATTTAATGCAATGAATTCGGTGATATGAGGAGAGGGAGGGATAATCAAAAAAGCCAGAGATATAAAAATTGAAGTTATATTTAGTTTAATGACGGCTTAATTGGTCCCAACTATTGATTCTGTGTGATCAAAATGGAGCTTTCAAGGTGTTATGTAAAAATAGATTGATGTTTTCCCACTCGTTCCTGAGCAGATGTAATGCTCACTTGACTTTACAAATTCTTTCAGTCAAAGGAGAGCATATGGAAGAGGAAAGGAGCTGTAATAAATGATCCAAGATGGAGAAGTACACAATGCTGCATAAAGTGGAGGAAGGAGGTTAAAAGCCAAGGTATCACTGCATTTTAGGAAGCTAAACAGTGATAGAGTTGATGTTATTAGACAAGTTTAAAATAGAGGATTGTAGATAGGCAATAAATTATATGCAGTGGAAGGATGAAATGTATCAAAAAGAGAAACCTCTTTTTTTTTTTTTTCAAAAATAGAATATGTAGGTTCAAGTTAAAAGCTCTGTCTGGCTGTCACATGCCTTTTACAACCTTCAGTTTTTCATATTTACTTTTTTCATTTTAAAAATGAGATAGTATTTAACTTAAAGAGCTAATGTCATGGCAATGGGCTGTAATATGTTTGGTCTTTTAGAGGATTCTAATTCAATAGTTTGACGGTAACATTATCAGCTCCAATCCTTCTTATCATCACTCCTCTTTCCTTCAGCACAATCTTACCTTTTGATTGCCCTTGTGACTCCAATGGATACCAGATAGAGACTTCATTCTCAGCATCAGATACTATAGTTCAAGTTTTCTCTGCTCTTCACCAGCCTCACAGCTCCCGCAGCCACTTACAAAATAATCACTTAGAAGCTTATATTAATTAAAACTGCTTGGCCATTAGCTCAGGCCTACCACTGACTAGCTCTTACACTTAAACTCAGCCCACTTCTCTTAATCTATATGTTGCCACATATTCCGTGGTTGTACCTGTGTGCCATTACATGCTGCTCCCTGGATGGCCGGCTGGTGTCTCCTGACTCTGCTTTTCTCTTCCCAGAATTCTTCTTGTCTGCTTGTCCCACATATACTTCCTCCCTGGCTACTGGTCTATCAACTTTTTATTTATCAATGAATCAGAACAACACATTCACAGCATACAGAACATCCCACAGCACCTCCCCTTTTCTGTCGAATCAAACAGGAAGGTTTTAACTTTAACATAGTAAAATTACATATAACAAAACAGTTATCAAGCAAGAATTACAGTTATAATATCTAGTCTATTTATATTTGGGAAATTCAAAGAAAATATTCTATTTATCCTATATTTGTGAGTCTAAAGTTTTATATCTAATTTATCTTTTATCATAACCAAGGAAAATTATAACTATCTATTCTTCAACTACATCAAAGACTCCAGAAAAATATAATATTACCTAAGTAAACAGGAAGAGCATTCTAAGCAACTTCCCAAAATCTAGAACAACAGATAAAGCTGGCTACCTGGATAATTAAACAAAGTTCCTCTGCAACAATGAGGTATCCATTCTTCAGCTCACAGGCCTGGAGTCTTTCAGCTGCTTCTCTCTGTGTCCTGTAGAAATGTCTGGCAGTTTCTTCTGTGAAGCAGGAACCTGAAGGACCATCTTGCCTTGCAAAGTTCATTGGTCACCTTCCTATGGGCCCTGCAGGTCCAGTCAATACAACATTTTGTCAAGCAGTCCAGACAAGAACAGTTTCTTGCCCAAATGACTATTTTTGCCAAGAAGAAAATAAACTCCATATGGAGTGTCTTTGACGTCCATCCTCTTCTCTGAAGTAAATCAGTTCTGCCAGGAGCAGATGTGTCTCACTGTCCAGAAAGTCTAAGTTTTTAAAAACATTTTAAATGCCATATTCTGTAGGTCTTTGAAGTCTTTGAAGATTACCTACCTAACTGAATTATATCTAGGTATACCTAGAAAACTTAACATGACTGTAAGTTTGACTATCATAAAAAAACTAATTATTAATCTGTATATCTTAATTATCCATTACAATTTAAATGAGTTACATAAACATAATACCTTAAACTAGAGTAGAAATATATATATATATGTATATATATATGTGTGTGTGTGTGTGTGTGTGTGTGTGTGTATTATAACAAAATTAACTTTAAATTTGTATCAATCAACTAAAATCTATATCAATGTAAAACATTTTAAACAAGTTGCTCCAGAGTTCTCTGGAAAACTCTGCTCAGTCTATCTCCAGCGTCCAGGGTCCGGGAACCAAGAGAGCCAGCGTATCTGGATCTCGGGTCTTCAGCATCCTCTCTCAGCCCCACCTTGTAGGTGTGACAGTTACCGAAGCCTCAATGGGGGTTGGAACTTTCAGGTCAAAGCTGGAATGGGCTACCCACGACATATAGTCTATATTTCCATACCAAGATACCTTCTAAAAGAATAAGAAAAATTCTGGCACATTTTAAGAAGTAGTAATTAACCATTATATGTACCCTAGCAAGTATTCTATTTGTGAAGCAGATACTTTTCATACCAATAACTTAGTTGTGCTCATGGACTATTAGAATGGAGATAATATGAAGTAACAGCATTGTTATTGGTAAACAGAATAGATTAAAGGTAAGAAAAGGAAGAGCCCACATTTACTATCAAACTTACTTTATCATTAGGTAAGAAATTATGATTAGTCATGTTTAAATTTGTACATATAAATTCAACTTAAAATACTCTAAGTATTAATGTTTATTTTAACCATTACTATAAGGGATATTAAACTGAGTAAATAACTATTAGAAATTAACAAAGACAAAAAGTAAGAATGTTCTAGGCTAATGGTGCCTTCTAGAGGAGTGCCTGAAGTGGTGTATCTTGAAACAAAAGAAGTGAACTAGGTAAATCTTCAAGTAAGAAGTGCAATGTGATCTCCTGTAATTGAGACAGTGTAAAGTTATCATGTAGAGTTATCATGATTAGCTTCAGTTGTCAGCTTTGGAAGAGGGAAAATCAGTTGAGGAACTGACTCCAATAGACTGGCCTGTGGGCATATCTGTGAGGCATTTTATTGATTGCTAATTGATACAGGAGGGTCCATACACTGTAGATTGTATCATCCCTAGGAACGTGTTCCTTGGCTGTATGAGAAAGGAAGCTGAGAAAGAGCCTAGAAATAAGCCAGTAAGAAGCATTTCTCCAAGGTTTCTGCTTTAAGCCACTGCCTTGGATTCTTTCTATGATGAACTATAACCCCTAAGCTTAAATAAACCCTTACCTCTTCCAAGTTGTTTTTGGTTGGTGTATAACAGGAAAAGAGAAGCAAAGTAGGGCAGAAGCCAAATGGTATGCATAGACTTGTAGAAAGCTAAGTCACAAATATAAGGAAAATGTTTGAGGCCCTACCCCTAGCTGAGAAAGTACTGATAGTTGGTGGCTACTAGGGGAGAAAGAGTCGGGTTTTTTAAGAGTTACATCTCCTGATAGATTTCCAGTACTCTAGTGCATGACCCTACATCCTGCACATATGGGCAACACCAGTTGGGCTCAGTGAGTTATTAAGGAAAATCAAAATGAGGATATTAAGTTAGGAAGTAGCATAGTAGAAGGTGGCCCAGGAGGAATTGAAGAGTAAAATAACTGGCAGTTGTTATCAAAATATATTGTATATTATATATATCAACTTCATAGCATATACTATGCATAGATTTAAAAGTAAGGCAAACTTCAACAGCATGTTGGCTGGATTCTGAACATGAAATGCCTTGTGGGTCAGGGGGAAGCATTGCCTGTCGGTAGGAAGGCAGAAACCATCAGGTATTTAAGGCGAGCTGTGTGATGCATTAAGAGAAGAATTTGATCTCTAGAATGATGGAGAAATAAACCTGGGATTCCTGGGCAGTCTAGAGAGAACTCATAGTAACTTCTGCAAAAATAGAGTGTGAATGAGAAGAATGAGATTGAAATTTCAAGTGTGTGCACAGTTATTAAGTTATAAGGGAATGAAAGCAAAGACCCAGATGTCAGGAAAACTTACTGAGCCTGGGAGTCCTAGAACGGAAAAAAAAAATTATTCTCTTTAGAAGTATAGCAACAATGAAACCCCTGTTTAAAAGAGGTGATTTGTTTAGTTTGAATTTAGTACATCTAAATTAACGAATGGGACTTCAGTTATGAGTATTGGGAACATTCAAGGTCTGATGCTTAGAAAATTGATAATGCTGAAAAGCATGAGATTTCAGAATAAAAGAAGTTCATGAAATGAAAAATAAAAACTTTTCTCATTTACTAATATAACAGGATCATGTAAGATTTATAATTTCCATATGCATTTATATATCTTGCCATAATTTATTCCCCACAGTGTTTGTATAATTGTCTTATCCAGACTGATTTTTAAAGAGGTTAGACATTTGTCCCCAGTCTTGCTGTCAAAAGCTGAAAAAGTGACTACACTTGTTATTGTCATGCATGTCTTTAGTAATTTATATTTAACTGAAATTGATGTGAAAGTATCTGTTTCTAATATATCAATATTCAAATCAGTAAATATGTATATGCATGACATCCACTATGAATGTTCAGAATTTTTTATTTTTATTTAATAATAAACATTTATGCTGTTACCTGTTCTTTATATTCTTTATATTCTGAACCAAGCATAATTTGTTGACTTGGATTTTATGTGATTAAAAAGTATAAAATGAATTGATTGATATGCAAAGTCTTAGAAAAATATGAAATTAAATTGTCATGACTGAGTCTTAAGAGGTAGCACATGTGACTATCTGCAGTTACCAAATTAAACCAACCAAATGTTACCTGGATTTTAACTACAAATATGATGCTTAGAAGTCACCCGTTGGACAAATGATGAATACATTTCCATTTAAAAAGAAAAGCATTACTTTGCTTCCATACTGCACTTTTGTAAAATCCCAGAGGGTCAGAAACAAAATAATACACTTTTGTTTATTATTAATTTGTTTATAAGGACAGCTGTCCCTTCTACTGTGCAAATTTGCATCGTAAGTTTGTGTGCTGTGCAATTTGACTACTCCTCCTGCAGATGCTGCTTTTCCTGTTTTGCTTCAATTATTTTAACCCCTAGAGTTTCTATTTTATTTCATGTTACTTAGGTCTATATGGATTACAGATAAACAAATGGATATATATTATGTACATATATGTGCCATGTGTGCTTTATATATCTATGCATGCATATACAAAATGCATAAAATAGTAGTTGTTAAAGAATCTGCCTTGCAAACGAGCTTTTTTCTACTTTTCCCTTGGAGATGACCTTCTTCAGTGGGGTCTACTAAAGACTCTAATAAGCTGGTTTCAATACCAGTATGTGGGTAACAGGAGTGTTAATTCAGTGAAGATTATTAGTTTATGCATATTCATTAAATTTGTTTTTATGCAGCCATTCAACTTAGTAAATGGTTCCAGCCAGAAAGGGCTCCAATTAGAGAAATTAATTAGGGCTTGGAAAGGTATGGAGAGATTTGTGTGCATTTGGAAGGGGTATTTTTCTCCTAGTGAAAAAAAAAAAAAAACACCTGCTGGGGGAGGGCTGGCAAACGAGTTTGCATATATCAGAGACTGTAATAACATGGAGTTTTTCAAGCCATACAAGCACAAAGGAGAGGAGGTATATTGTTTAAATTAACACATCTCTGGCAGATTAAAGCACACCTTGGCCTTTTCTTGTTGGAATTTATCTTTTATAGCTCCTTACCAAGATGCAAAATCCACGTTGCCCCCACCTACCCTTGAAGCTGCCAGGTGAAATAAAAGTATTCTCATTGTGGAGAGTGTTTTTGTGTCAGTTTGTGATATTTCTTTCTCCTCAGTTACCTCCATGGTGTCCCTGCCACCAGAAGCCAAAAAGAAGCAGCTGTTCTGAATATGTACAAACAAAAGAAGCTGTTTCTATAGCAACCATAGAACCCTGTGGAAAATCTCTCTCACTAACCTTAGCCAATCTCTCCTCTTCAAGCCTCCTTCTTTTCCTTTTGTGAACCAGCAGACTGCCCTTACACAGAAAGGGCACTTGATGATTTCACTGCACATGGGGGTTAGAATGACCACTGCTGTCACACTTTGCAAGAATTGGAAGTCTTGCTCTTGGCCAAAGATTCTGAGAGGACTGCAGAACTGGACATTCATAGATTGCTAGTTGCTGGGTACACTAACTTTCCTTTATTATCCTACTATCCCTTATGAGATAATTATGTCCCTTTCACCTTTTGGAAATCTATCACCTTTGGATTTCCTGTTGGTTTTTCTTCGTAGCCCATAGTAGACCTACAAGTCAATGTGAGATGGCTCTCAGGGAAATCTGTGAACATTGCTGATTTGTGAGCTGCAGGTTTCAGGTTTCAGATGAAAGATGGGACAGTTTTGATCTCACTGACAGATGTGTGGTCCTAAAAGTTCCATAGGTTGTGGTTGCTGTTGTTGTGCGTGCGTGTGTGTGTGTGTGTGTGTGTGTGTGTGTGTGTTTCTCTGTAGGATAGAAGAAATGTCGATGTTTATCAAATTAAGAACTGTGTCAAAACACATCACAATTTTTTAAATTGCAGTCATTTCATTCCTATTTTAATTTTCTTACAAAGTTGTGTTTAAAATACTTTTGTGTGTTTCTGTTGATGCCTATTGTAGTGTTTGCTTGCTTGTGTCCCACAACACATGCAGAGGTCAGAGGAAAATTTAGGGGAGTGGGTACTCTCCTATACTATCTGGGGCTCAAATGTCAAACTCTGGTTGTGAGGTTGCAAGACTTGGCAGGAAAGATTTTTTTTTACCTGCTAAGCTATCTTTCCAGCCATATGCTCCTCCAAAGTTGTCTTTAGATTAATCTAAGTTATGTCTTTAAATTTTTATATGTCTTTTGTGTATTTAGCTTTCAATTTACAAATTATTTCTACTCAAAAAGTTAATCTTTAAATCAATAATTTAGTAAATTAACATTTTAAGTTAATAATTTAAAACCTAGAAATATTTTATATGCATCTTATCCAATATATTCCAACAGAAAAAGCGATTAGGCATTCTGCTAACAAATACGTGTATACTACATGTCATTGAAATAGATTTTTTAATATATGGAATGATGCAAGATGGCATTTTATCTTTAGGTTTATAGGTTGGAACTGTGTAAATCTTCAGATTTCTCAATATCTGAAATTAGGCTTTCTAACCCACTGATAAAATTGTATAAAATTTGTCCATGTAAACTATAATTTTGACTAAAAAAATAAATGCATAGGAAATGACTTATCAGTTATTAAACATACTTAAAATGTTTCATAAATGATGTTATTTATAAATAAATAGGTAAAACTATCAATATGATAAGATAAAAGCCAGTAAAAGCTCATTTGCTTATGCAGTTTTGATAGGTAGTAGATGAAGCTTTTCAGATCTGTTTAATCCCTGGACTTAATGTAAAAAGGTCAGGGGTGATGGTACACACTCATAATGTCAGCTCTAGGGAGGCAGAGATGGGAACATTCCTGAGCTCACAAGATAATCAGTCAAGTCTACTTGGTGAGCTCCAGATCAATGAGAGGTGATATCACTTAAAGAACACATAAGATTGTCTTTTAACCTACACATACAAGTTCACATGCACACACACACACACACACACACACACACACACACAAATGGTTAATAATTTATAAACGGTGTAGGTATCATTTTAGTAGCCATAACATTTATTTACCTTAAATTATAACATACTCCAAATGGATAAATTAAATGTAAATTATGCAACTGAAACAACCTTAAAACTGTGTAAGAAAAATGTTCAGAACACTAAAAGATTGTTTTCCTTTTTTATTTTATAATTTAATTTAATTTTACATATCTGCCATGGATTCCCTTGTTCTCCCCCCGCCTCCCCCCTCCCACCCACCCTCACCTTCCCCCCAGTCCACCCCCTATTCCCATCTCCTCCAGGGC